TGTATAAAAGTATCCTAGATCTTGTCATAGTTTCTCCCTGCATATTTTCATATTCTTTCCAGATTTTATGACTTTCTATTATAATAGAAAATTTTCATGATCAGAAATTTCATAGAAGAGTTATAAATATGCTTCTCTGTGTATTTGAATCTAAAGCTAAGCAACTTTTCTACTGAAGACAATTCAACGTAATATAGTACATCCTGGATGAGGTCACATTGTTCTGGTTTGGTCTGTGATGAGCACTCCAACTGCCCAGTGTCCCCTTTCCTCATTTTGTCTTAATTATTCCAATACTACCATAAAGCAATGAAGAAACACCCAACCATCTCTATAAGTAAAGGGTACTTCTTCTGAATTAGAACTTTATCAGTTTCCAAGTAAGAACTGGCCACCCCATCTTTGTGATCTGCTGTAGCCTGAACATTTGTTATACTCCTAAAACAATTTTATACTTTTCCCAGTTGCTCTGGATAGCTTTAGTGTCAACTTGACTCACCTGGGTTGAGAGAGCCTCAATTGGGGAATTGCCTCCATTGAACTGGCCTGTGGTCATATCTGTGGGGCATCTTCTTGATTGTTGTGTGATGTGGGAGGGTCCATCCCACTGTGGGTGGTGCCACCCCTGGGCAGGTAGGCCACTGTTGCATAAGAAAGCAGGCTGAGCCCGGGCCAGGGGAGCAAGCCAGTAAGCAGTGTTCTTCCATGGCCTGTGCTCCAGCTCCTGCCTCCAGGTTCCTGCCCTGAGTTCCTCCCTTGGACTCCCTGATGAACTGTGACCTGGGAGATGTAAGACAAACAAACCCTTTCCTCCCCAAGTTGGTATTGGTCAGTGTTTTGTCACAACAATGGAGATTAAGGCTGTATATAATATGTGTTATCCCAGTTACCAGCAGATGAGTGCTCAGTGAGTATTTGTTGAAGATAGGAAGGAACAGGGAAAGAGGGAAGACAGGAGAGGACAGGAGGGAAGGAGGGAGGCAATAATCCAATGTTTGGTGTTATGTAAAGAACAGATATAGCTCATGTATATTGGAAGTATCCTTCTGAACTTTGTAATTTTTTACTCACAAAAGGCTGCAAAAATATTAAAATGAAAGTTAGATCCATACCAATGGCCCCACATCTAGCGACTGATCTATGAAAGTTTATAAATGCTGGAGCACTGCCCTATGTCACCTTGACACAGCATTGAGTTATCTGAGAGGAAAATCTCAGTTGAAGAATTTCCTAGGTCAGATTCACCGATGGGCCTATCTGTGACAGATTATCTTGATTACTAATTGATGCTGAGAACCCAGACCTCTATGGGTGGTACCATTCCCTGGGAAGATGGTCCCAGGCTGTTTAAGAAAGCTAAGCATGAATTTATGATTGCATCAGCAAGCTGCATTCCTCCCCGGTTTCTGCTTCAGGTTCCTACTTCAGTTCCTGCCCTGACTCCCCTCAGTGATAACTGTGACCTGGAAGTATAAGCCTATAAAACCCTTTCCTCCCCTAAGTTGCTCTTGATCAGAATGTTTTATCATAGCAACAGAATAAAAGTAGACCATGCATGTAGACCTACCTCAATATTATGCTTCAGTGAATAGTGCAGGGGCTGTCCTAATGAATTTCCTGTCCTTAGTTCTTACTGTAACCAAGCTTTTCCCTCTGCTCAGTGCTGCTGCTGTCCTTCTCTTCACAGATACCAACACCAAAGGAAGTCTTTATTTAATAAACAGTCTGCATGCTAAAATCAATTCTGGTACCTGATCTCCAGAGTACCCATCTCACAGCACAAAGACCAGAGTTATTTCTCACCTTCATTATTTACCATGTAAACATATTTGTGTATGGTTGAAAGCTTATCAACCAAGTTTTTGACACTTTTACTAAAAGGCAGTCTCCATCACAACCAGTAAAACTGGCTTAAGGCTGTTTCTGTGAACAAAGGAACCCAACAGGAAAAGCTGCTGTGTGATATGTAACTAAGGAGTAAAGGGCTTGTGGCTTCTGCTGGATGCTCTTGGGATATTCACTTTGAAAGCCACTTGCTGATGTGAGAAATCCAACTTCTGATTGCCTGAAGCTTCTGTGGTGGCCAAGGAAGTGGTAAGACTGTAATGAGACCTGTATTTGAGAGCTCCAGCTGTTCTGGTTGGGGGATGTTTGCATTGTCCTTGACCAGTCACTAAACATGCAAATTAAGCTTGAGGTGACCTCAGTCCCAGCCATCCAGCACACGAGAACACTAGCAAAGACTGACTGAGCCTAGGCAAACCTCCAGTGAGCAAAATAAATTAAGTACTGCTTCAAGCAATTGTTTTAGGGTGGCTTGTTCACAGATATAAAACAGCTATGACAATACTTGATTTTATGCCTCTCAGTCTCAATTTCTCTATCTATTATATGGGAATATTTTACTAAATCCCCATTGAACTTATCTTCCATCTTAGCATATTGTGGAAATGACATTAATAGTATGTGTAAACTTGTGTTATAAGGTGTAAAAGGCATTAGGGGCCCAATCTATTATAATTATCACTATAAATCCTCATTAGCTAGGAGCAGATTGTATAGAATACCAAAAAGGCAAGTTGCTAAACTCAAGGAAAATGATAATAGCTCTAGGTTACAATTATTCATCCTACCCACAAAAATGTAAGTAGAAATTTCTGGAATGGGAAAGGGCAAATAAAAAACAAGTGGATTTTAAAAGCAAATAACATAATATTTGTCTTTCTTAATCTACTCCTTTTGAATGGTTCAGATAAAGAGTATTTTCAAGTATATCTGTAGAAAGTATAACTTTAGCCTCTCTAGCTTCAAACATAGAAACTTCATTCCTTTTTATTCCTTGAACATTACCCCACCCTCCCTCTCTGTTTATCTTCTGCCCTATATATTTTGAATACTTGTACCTTCAACTAGATGCAAATGTTTCTTAACAGTGTAGGGATTCTTCATAATTATGCCCTGAAAGCAATCATTATGGTACTTGTAAATAAAGGTACCAGATATATATTTATAAAATAAACTCAAAGAGCATACATGTGATTTGGAAGATATGGAGGGATCACTGGTTACTTATTACTAACCTCTTGTTTATTTAATTAAGAATTCAACTATTTGCTTCACCTAGTTTCTTTTTTCTTTTTCTTTTGTTTTCTGTGTTCCAAATATTCTAGCCCCAAACTCCTCCTTCCTTGCCAGGTGCATTTGGGGACTGGATTTCTGAGCTCTTGAGATGAATAGTTACAGTGAGTTACAAGTTTAAGTGGTATGCGTCATCTTAGGTGGGGCATTTACATTATGGTTCTAAATCTTCCCTGAATCCTTGTTCCCTGGCAGAGTTTGAAGGACTCCAGGTAGCTATTACATTGGTTCTACTTCTTTAGTGTATAGTCAGAAATACCCTTCTCTCTCTTCTGAACTAAAAAAGAAATATAATATCAATAAAAAAGAAAAAAAAAACTATTGTTCCTTTTTTTCGAATTTGGTGTTTTGTTAATTTATTTTTTTAACTACTTTTATCGATTTTTTTTGTTTTGTATTTCATACAGAACATCCCAAACAATTTTAATCATCTTTATACCCACATCCCAAATGGTACTCTCCCATAACTCCCCCGACTGGAGCCCATATACTCTGTCATCTCTGTTACTGCCCACTGTGTTGTCATTGCCCCCAGCCGGTCCCCAGTGCAAGTCCATCTAGTCAGCCTATATAGAGTTCCTTGTTTTAGGAGGACCAGCTCTTCTTCATCTAGTAGCAATCAGTTGCCAACATTCCTTTAGATAAGATTGGGATCTGCTGTTCATTTTCCCAGTTCTATGTTGGGTTATTGTCTGCCTGAGTTTGCATGAGGCTTGTGTATGCTGACACCTATGCCATAGAATCATATGAACAGATTTCCAGGAACTTGTAGGACTCTGTTTCCATATGGTCATGCCCATCCTCCCTGGCTCTTACAATATCTCCACTCCCTCTTCTGTGATGGTCCCTGAGCCTTGGGTGGATGAAATTTAATAAAGGGGTTCTGTCTGAGAACCATTATTTAGCAGACACTTGATCTCTACACTTTGGCCATTTGTGACCTTTTGTGCTCCTGGCCCTCCACTGCATGAGGAGCTTCATTATGAGAACTGACTCCTTAGTGTCCTCTTCTTTATCTTGTTCTATGTTCCATGAGCCTTAGGTGTAGAGGTTGCATTGCAGATGTGTCCCTTAGGCCTGGGCAATTCATAGACAATGTCTGTGTGTGACCAGTTGTGGTAGGTGACCCCTGAGGAACAGATCCTCAAATGACCTTAAGAGTAAAAATAAATTGATTTATTTGGGCCAGCTGTATGGTCTTAAACACCCAAAAGGAAAATATAACCAAAGATTAAAGTGATCAGTATATTGCTTTAAGAGTCCATGTGTATAGCTAAGGGCTACATAACAAGAAACAGTACCAGCCAGGAGAAACCTTTCATTGAGTTGTTGGCCAGGGTGGTCCAAGAGACTCCCAAAATTACTCAGGCTATTGCCACAGCCCTTGATGGCCTCCCAGAACTTGAAGGTAAGACCCTACTGCTGAAGATAGAACATACATTGGACACAGGATCTGGAGAAAAAGGGCTGCAACTGACCTGGAAGCCACTTCCCCTGAAGGCGAGCTCTCATAGCTTTGGAGAACGCTATGAAAGTGCCAAGGGAAAACATCGATGGATGATCCAGCACCAGCTTCAAGACCAAATAACCACATCAACGGCCAGTAGAGCACACTCCATTGGTGCAATATTGGCACTTTTGTCTTGGGGGCAATCGACAGCTCCCTAATTTGACTAAGAGCCCACTCAAATGGAGGAAACTCAAGGGTGGTACTGTAAAATAACCTAATACACATGGCTGGAGTGGTCATAGATCTTAGCAATACCCCCAAAACTCTCACATCGCTAGACTAATGTGATTTCTTACTATGTGCAAAATATGTATCCTTATATTTACAGACAAATATCTCAGTCACCACTCACCAAAGAAGCTCACTTTGCAGCAGTCAGAGACTAATATCAAGTATCACAATTGGTCACACATGGATATTGTTCCTTTTTAAACCCTTGATAGTCAGTCTTCTCCCATGAAGCACAGCTTCCTGATCAGACTTGATTGATGAGTTTGGCCAAATCTGAGAACAGACAAATCAGTTCAGATATAATTTCTCTCCTTTCAAATCCTTTGTCAGTGGAATCTAAATTGCTTTAGTAATTCAGCACAGAAGTTGGCATGCCAAATTGTTACCATGGAGACCATAAACTAGTACTTCTAATGACTTCTAATGACTGAATCTTATGTGCTCTTTAGGCTTTCCAAATTCTACACTAAATTCTGTTAAAATTGTGTCTCCTCACATATGGAGTTGTCTTACATTAGGTCCTGAGAGAAAAAAAAATCAGAGATTTTTATGCAGAAAGTTTGTTTGGGAGCACCGTCCAAAACACTTGGGCTTAAGTGAAGAAGATATAATTGTCCGCTGGGAGAAACTGAACTGCAGTGCAGTCAAAACAAAGGCGTTGGCACAGGGAGCTGTTTAGAGGGTGCTTTATGGCTGTGGTAGTTGAAGGAAGGTCTGGGCTTTTGCTGCATCAGTCATGGGATATGGGTCACACAGAAGACGAGATGAAACTATCAGTTAGCATCCCTCAGTGAAGGCAATGCCTGGGAAGGAACTCAGTCATCAGCAGCCAGTAGTCAATGAGTGTCCAAACTGAAGGAACTTTGTCCTGACAGGAGTTCTACATAGTATAACACAGTATCTATTATATGAGTAATATAATTTTTCTTTTTATATTATTTTTACAATGTGTAAATGTGTATATGGGGTGTGTGTGTGTGTGTGTGTGTGTGTGTGTATGTGTGTGTTTGGGGTAGTGTGCAAATGTGTGCGTGTATGGATGCCAGATATTGGCAACAAGTATGTGTTCTTTTAACTCTGTCTCTGTGCAAGCCCTGGAATTCACCAGTCTCCACCCCCAGCACTGAAGTTGTAGGCATAGGCCACTGAGTCCGGCTTCCTATGTGTGAGCTGGCAATCTGAACTCAGGTCCTCATGCTTGCCCAGCAGGTCGTTACCATTTCCCCACCTGCATATTTTTAATAATATCATTGGCAACTTGCCAGCAGGGTATTTCTTATTGAAATTATTCATTTTTGTCTATGCTAGTCTGCCTACTTGGACCATATTTTCCCTAAGCATTCAGTTTAAATGTCACCAAAGAAAATCCTTCATAGAAGACTTTCTTCTCATGGACTTTCTTGGCACTCTACGCAAATCTGTTTTATATGTTTGCTTTGTATGAGGAAAAGGCCCTGTAAGCCTATGACTGTGGAGCTGGGTCCACCTCTGTTCCAAGGCTTACAGAAAGCAGGATGGAAGCAGACTGGGGGGTGGGGATAACCAGAGGAGTGTATATAAGGACATTCTAGGTCTTGTGTGCTTCTCTGGGATCTCACAGAGACAACACTAAGCCTATGATTTCCATAGAAAACAAAAGTTCTATTATTTTGCAGACACATGTAGTGCTTGTAAACCATCCCTCTCTTTTCAGCTTACTCTACAGATTGTGTCCCCATTATTATAAAGTTTTAGCAGAGGATTGTTCAGAAGACCCATTCTTGACATGGACTTCCTTCAGAACTCTGAAAGGAACAGACTATTTCAGTTTTCTCCCAGACCTTTTGTCTTCCATCCTTGGCTGAGTCTGTGTGGTTGTTGTTGCAGTAATTATTGAGGACATTCACTGAGGGAGAAGGCAACACTGAGCAGTTAAGAGTCTGGGCTTCCATGTCTTCTTTTCCTAGTACAAATCCTTTCTACAGAGTCAAACTTGGGTCATCTGCTTTGCTTTCCAGGAAAGCAATTTCTGTATACTTACAATTAAAATTATTTGTATACAACTTTTATTTCCTAATTAGACCTTAAGTTACTTGAGATAAAAAGTGAATTAGGGGAAATCACCAGAAGTCTTAATTTCTCCATTTGCAACAGTGGGTGGCTCTAATTCTTCAAAGGTTCTTCCATCTGCAGAACTTGCTGATTTTATGTGAGTCAGCCTAAAATCAGAAGATGTCAGGTCTTAGAAAGGCTGAGAACACCTTTTCAGTGGTTTCTATATTAGTTTGCTGGCATATATGCTACCCACATCTTTTTTGTTTTTTCCTGTCAGGTGAAATAACTGCTCTGGAATAACATAAAATAAAACAAGGAAACTTCACAACAGCCATCATTAGGAACTCAGGGGCAATTTGACTTAAAGCAACTAGAAATTTTAAAAGAAAAACAGAAAATGCAATCTGTTTTCTCATTTTCTTCCTGCTTCCTCTTTAAACAAGCACACTCTATCTCCCCAAAGATTTTCCTAATCAGAAAACACATTGCACAGCTTGACCTGTAATTTAAATCACAATTAAGCTTCCAGTTAGAATGTATCTTCATCATAAATCTGCTATGAAAGCCCCAGTGTTCTGTTTAATTCCCTCATCCTCTTAAACAGCATGACCCCAGTTTTATTTTCCCTAGACATAAAATGCTGAATTATAGCTTATTTATGAGTTTCATGAATAAGACTAATTTGATTGCCATTTGCAGAGAAATTCTCACCAGGTTATTATACTCCTAGATTCCATTAACTCATCTTAAAATATACAAAATAAAAATTACTCCAAATTAGTCTTCCAAGCAGAATTGCTGGCAATATTTATTTGTATACAAAGATGCCACCAAGCTGCACTAACAGAAGACCCCCTTGTTTACCCCTTGCTCAGTGCCTATGCTGTATTCAATCAGCATTTTATAAACATTTGTGACATTGCCTTTTAGTATGTTACAGCTTTTATTCCTAATGAAAATTGCTTACAGTGGTTCTAGTTTTATGTTCTTATCTTAAACCTAGGTGCCATCTGTAAATGCATGCTAGACTGAGAATGTCCAGCCAACTGGTGAAATGGGTCAGCTGGGGTTTCACTAACTTGAGGGCTTTTGGAGTCATATGGGAAGGGCAGCCTCTTCAAGCATTAAGGCTTATACCTACTACACAGGTAGTATAAGATTACTGTAAATATCTGTGTTTTACATCAATAAAATAAGAATTTATATGTATTATAATGTAAGCTGCATACTGCAAAAATTATTAAGGTAAAGACTCTGAATGAGTGAACAGACTTTAGCCATGCTTTATGCTCAAAGTCCACATGGAAGACCTCACTTCATTATCTCTCGAACAGAGATTATAATAATGTTATAGCATTTCAAAAAGTGGTTTAAGAAAGTGATTGGAACTTGATACAGCAAAAGTGCAAGTCAACATTTTAAGATAAAATGACCATTAATAAGACTCTTGGAATAACTGACACTGAGTCTAAAAATAACATTATTTTAAATTCCTGAAGAGGGATGATAAAACTGTTTAAAAGTGCAAGCAGTTTTTTCTCCTAAAGTGTGAAAAATTAAAACTAAGAGGCAAAAAAATTTTAGCTTTTTAAAAAGTCATCAGAACACGGGGCTGGAGAGATGGCTCACCTGTTCTTGTAGAAGACCTAGGTTCAAATCCCAGCACCCACATGGTAACGAGCAACCATCCGTAACTCCAGTTCCAGGGGATCCAGTGCCCTCCTCTCACCTCTTCGGGCACTGCACGACACAGGTGCACTTACACACATGCAGGTATAACACTCATACACATACAATAAAAATTAATTAATTAAAAAAAATCATCCGAACAGATAATCAAGTTTATAGAATGTAGAACAGTTCTAGTTACAATACAAATATTTTAGACATGTAGTGGGTAATGAAATGAACTGCTTCCTTAATATTATAGCATTATAGTATATTGGTTTTAATGTATGTGTTTATAGTCAATTTCATTGAAAAAGATCTAGCTAGCTGGATGTGGTGGCACATGCCTTTAATCCCAAAATTCAGAAGGCAGAGGCAGGCAGATCTATATTATATAT